AGACTAAAGGTGTAATTTGCTCCTAGACCTTCTCTCGAGGAAACAGAGATCCCACTGCTGACACCAGTGTTACAAAAGTATTACTGAGCGGTGGCAAGACTCCAGGGGGTTCCAGGCACTCACCCAGGTTCTGTGTTCCTTTGGAGAATTGAGACATGGCAGAGACTGTCATAGCTTTAAGAAATATGGTTTAGTCACCTATTTACACCTGCAGTCTGCATGGAGGGAGTCCAGATCTTACATGGTCCTCTGCATACAGCCAGTCCATGACAGATCAGGGGTGAACGAAGGCGTCATTACACCCGGGGCGGGGCATCACTACGTAGGGCACATGCGCGGTGTCACTACATATGATGCATGCGCTGTACGTAGCGCCGCCGCACATGCGCTGTACATAGAGGTTCCAGCGCTGTACAGATGGTGCCGGGATCCTCTGCTCGTGGGTGCAGTGTGATGGCTGCTCGCACCACCGCGCCCGGGCTGGGGCAGCAGGGCAAGCACCCCACGGGGTGCCTTCTTGCCACCTTCCCAGATGTGGAATCTGGAGCACACCACCACCCTGCCCCCCTGTTGCGACGCCACTGTGACAGATATAAATGCAGTAAATTAATTTTTCTGGAAAATTATATGTTCACAGAGCAGACAACTAAAACATGAAAGGGGATAATGCTCTTTCATGCACTTTGCATGAACATCTTCATAAGGCTGTGAAATGACAAAGCATCTCTGTCCAAATATTTAAATGTAGAAAGATTGTTCAGATTAGGAGGATTTGGCACAAACTCCGGTTCTGTATTTTGGGAGCCTCAGAGACTCCTCATGAAGAACATATTGAAGGGAATCGTGCAGGATAGCCATGTTATCACCAAGGTATGCGGTGCCCACACCCCCACTGCCAGCCCATCATGTGAAACTGCTATATGCACATATATGTCATATGAGCACATAGAGCTCTTCCATGTGAGGGTGTATCCTGGCCCAGCCAGGATCCCTCACATGGAAGAGCTGTATATGTACATCATTATAGTGTTATGAGTTTGGATGGCAGGGTGAGGGCAGTAGGCTGCATGCAGAGACTCTTCTGATTCCTGGAGTAGGCAAGTTTCTTGGTGAGGTGATAACCCTAGGTCAGGCATAGGCAAACTCAGCCCTCCAGATGTTTTGAGACTATAATTCCCATCATCCCTGACCACTGGTTCTGTTAGCTAGGGATGATGGGAGTTGTAGTCCCAAAACATATGGAGGGCCGAGTTTGTCTATGCCTGCCCTAGGTAATGGTACATTAAGGGAAGAAAGGAAGTGATTGTGTGCCAGACAGCAAATAAGTGGGCCGAATCCCTCAACTTACTGGGAGTTAGAAAGACAGAGTCGAGAGTTGAGTTATGTGAACTGGAAGCTGGGCAGCTGGGAGACAGGGCTATGCCTGATTTCTCTTGGAGTCCAGGGATGTGGCTATGGGAGAAGCAAGACTTTTTTGGTTGCTAATCCTGCAAGCTCCTCCATTGTAGGCTCAGGTTGTATATATGTGTAAATAAACCATATATCCCAATGAAAACACAATCTCCACTGTCCCTCATTTGAAAGGAAGCATGAACCCTGCGTGAGTGCCTGGAACCCCTGGAATCTTGCACTGCTTGAAGTTTGGGGTGGCATGCAATAATATGTTCATAGGGACCATATGCATGCTTGTCATATGTGCACATCAGCTTTCCTGAAAGCCCAGCTCCACCAGGCATCCCCTGCCCCTAAACTGGGCCAGCTGGTCAGTATATAAATACAACTGTTTAAGGACTGGATTTCCACCCCCCCCTTCCCTCCCTGCTCCCTTTTCTTTGTGTGTCATGCCTTTTAAAGGTTGCAAGCCTGTGGACAGGGAATGTCCTGTTTGGATTATAGGTAAGCTTCTGCAGGTACAAATGCTCCAAATAAATAAATAACATGGAACCAGACTATTGATCCATCCAGCTCAGTGATACTGACTGCCAGCAGTTCTCTCAGGCAGGGGACATTCCCAGCTCTACCATTTGGGGACTGAACCTGAGACCTTCTGCATGCAAAGGAGAAGTTTTAGATGCTCTACCTTAGAGCTACAGCCATTCCCTGTCTTTAAACTTTCAATGACCTTTAAGACTCTTATGCCACATGTATGAATGTTCCACCCCTTAACAGTGGCGTAGCGTGGGGGGTGCAGGGGGGGCCGGCCGCACCGGGCGCAACATCGGGGGGGGGGGGGTGCTCGCACTCGCAGCTCTCTGCCCATACCTGGCTCACTCTCTCTCTCTCACTGCAGTGCTGGCTGTGCGAATCCGATCCGAGCCGCTGGGTCGCCGCCCATTGTGGAGGGGGTGGGTGCCAGGCGTGCGGTGCGGAGAGAGAGTGAGGGACTATCTGGGGGAGGGACAGTGCAGCGGCCGCCCAGCGCAGCGCTGAGCGCGGGAGGGAACCACACCAGACCATACCAGGCAGCAGCAAGAAGAAGCTGGCAGCGGCGGCAGGTTAGGGGTTAGGGGTCGCAAATTACTTGCCTTGCCCCGGGTGCTGACAACCCACGCTATGCCGCTGCCCCTTAATTCAAGTGCAAACCATTTTTTTATCATTTAATACGTACAGTGGTACCTCGGGTTAAGAACTTAATTTGTTCTGGAGGTCCGTTCTTAACCTGAAACTGTTCTTAACCTGAGGTACCACTTTAGCTAATGGGGCCTCCCGCTGCCGCTCAATTTCTGTTCTCAGCCTGAAGCAAAGTTCTTAACCCGAGGTACTATTTCTGGGTTAGCGGAGTCTGTAACCTGAAGCGTCTGCAACCTGAAGCGTCTGTAACCTGAGGTAGCGCTGCTATTGAAATAAACAATTTTGTTATCCTGTCAGTACTTTCCTTGTAGGTGTCATTAGACCCATCTCTCTTGTAGTTTGGGACCTTCTGATCACACTTACAACATTCAAATCTGAGGTTATCCTGGACTGCAGGGTCCTGAATTCATCTCTGATGTGCAGCCCTAGCTACACCTCTGACAGCGTGACCAACACACAAGAGGGAGGTCTCAGCAGGCTCAGAGGAGCTCTACGGTTTGCAGAAGTACAGCGGAGAGAGAGAGAGAGAGAGAGAGAGAGAGAGAGAATAATATTCCTAAGCAGCAGTGGCAATGCTAAAACAGCCAATGTGAATTAAGAGTCCATAGAATACCAGAAAACTGGCAGTGGTAGAGAGGATTGTGGCATATTGCAATGTTGGTGGAGCATGGCTGGCTGGCTTCCTGTAACAGTAAGCACACACATGCATACATCATTTTATTGTACTTATGCTGTACTTATGCCGCCTTTCTATAGTAAAAACCATGATCAAGGTGGCTTGCAACATGAAAAATATACAAAACACAATAAACTTAACGCACTGCAACGTTTCGTTACAGGTCTCACTCGCAATGCTCTGTTATTCTGTGCAGAAAATAAGTACAGCACATACCTATCCCTAGTGTCGTTTACTCAAGGACTAAAAGTGTAGCTTCTTCAAAAAAGCTTTTCAAAAGCCTCTTGAGGAAAACTTTCCAAAGGCACTCTTTTTTAATGCAACGCTTTAAGGACCCGACAAAAGGACAATGATTTCATGTGCTTGGCAAATGGGGGAAGGAAGGAGGATGAGATGCCTTAATAATGGAATCCCCTTACATGATCACCCATCTTATTAAGGGAGAGTCTTCCTTAGCAGTGCATTTCTCTTATTCTTAGAGGCAATCAGCCCCAAGAACAAGTTGCTGCCTCCGTGAGAAAATCTTGGCTACAACTCCATTAAGCCCCAACCAGAATGGCTGGGATGGTAGACAATATCTGGGGGGCCAGGAAAAGGTAAAAAGGTAAAGGATCCCTGGATGGTTAAGTCCAGTCAAAGGTGACTATGGGGTTGTGGCACTCATCTCGCTTTCAGGCCAAGGGAGCCAGTGTTTTGTCCATAGACAGCTTTCCGGGTCATGTGGCCAGCAGGACTAAACCGCTTCTGGTGCAACAGAACACTGTGACAGAAGCCAGAGCGCACAAAAATGCCGTTTACTTTCCCCCACACAGTGGTACCTATTTATCTACTTGCACTGGCATGCTTTCGAGCTGCTAGGTTGGCAGGATCTGGGACAGAGCAATGGGAGATCACTTCATCGTGTGGATTCAAACCCCCGACCTTCTGATCAGGAAGCCCAAGAGGCTAGGTGTTTTAGACCACAGCGCCACCTACATCCCAGGAAGGACTAGCCAGTCAGACCCCCATTCTGGAAGGGGGCTTCAGCAGGTAAATATGAACCATCAGCTTTCCCTGCTCCCAAATAAATACATCTTGCAATAAGATTATTCCTCAAAGAAATGGCAGGGGAAGTTCCAGGTTCTACTTGGTGCAGCTCAGGTTGCCAGACCCACCCTGTGAGTGAGAACTCCTGGATTTTTGTTTATTAATTACAAGACTGTGTGGGCAGCTTGTGAGCTTCAGTTTGGCAGGAGCTGGCTACAAATTATAGCAGTTATTGTGAGAAGGGGATCCTGCCCTCACCCTCTCTCAATAAACCTCCACTTCCAAGGCTCAGTGATGGGAGGGAACACAGAAGAAGAAAAAGAACTGGGCTGGGCTCAAGAGGAGGAGAGGGTTGTAAGTGTGCATGTGTACCTGGTGCAAGGGGTAGGGCTGCAGAAGTTAGCTGAGCACGTGAAGAGCAGCAACAGGAGCCGAACCCTGCTGTCTCTACCACCTTCAGCAACTCCTGGTTGGCCTTTTGTTCTTCTCAAGTGAGTCAAAGACAACAAGGACAAAAATTGACTGAGGGAGACTGGAATGTTGAGAGACAGGAGTGGAGAGTGTCTGGACTGGTCTCAGGTTTGGGCCCTAAAATCTCAAGGTCAGAATCTGGGATGCTGCTGACCTGGGGACCAACTCTCTACAAAGGGAACTCAATGACATCAAAATAGCATCTAGAGTTTTGTGGACTGCACAACACACTAAGAAAAATAATGACACCAAAAAATTCAATTGCACATTTATTCACGATCCAATTAAAAACAATTTCACAATATTGATTAACTTGATCCAGTGATAACAGCTTTTCAGAGCCTGATTGTCATTTAGCAAGAGTCTTAGATACAACATTTAGTAACTACTTCACAACTTCAGTAAATTATTAATATGATGGATGGGCTTACAATCATGAGTTTGTGACACAACACAAATATATGCTCTGATCTATTCTTGAGGCTAAAACAAGAATATGCAGCAATGAATATTTCATGAGAAATATTTCTATGCATTGTTACCAACAAAAGCATGACGAAGGAAATCTATAGCATAAAATGTTTATATATTACTCCTTACCAAACACACACAAACCTTCACCTTGCACATATGCACGGTAACTAATTTATAAGAAAATAAATAACTATTACCAATAATTGGCTATCTTGTAGCAGCAAGAATCGTACATACAAAAGTGACCAAACAAAATAGCTTTGAAAGCGACAAGAGCAGTAGAGCTTTAAGCTAAAAGCAAGGGTGGTATTTCACTCTAGACTCTAGCCTGGTCAATCGTAAAGAAGCAATCAATGCGCTCAGAGTGACCCACCTACACTGACTGTGTGCTGTTCCCCTGCCTCTTGGCACCCCCTAGGTAATCCTACCACCCTCAGGGAACCACTGATCTAAGATCTTCTAGACAAGAGCATCAGCTGGGGTGGGGTTCTAGCGCTGGATCTACATTGATCATCTAAACATTATTAAAAATAACATTCTATAACATTTAATGGCAGTTTCTCTTTGCTGGTGGCTTGCTGCTCTGCAGCACCCTCTGGTGTTACATTTCAATAATACTTTTTAAAGTTGTAAACGACAAGTGTAGATCCGCCGCTAGGTCTGTGGCATCAGCCCTCTGCTCACCTAATGAGAACTTGTGTGTTTCAATGTTGTTAAAGACACCTGATGGTAGGAGACAGCTGTGTTTTGAAAAAAGAAGATTGGGTTCTTAATTTTTTTGGAGTGTGGTGGCCAGTGTTGCAGCACTACAGAAGTGGTGGTGAGATCAATCGACATATCTGTGGTTTCCATTCCAGCACCTAAAGAAATAAAGAAAATTATGCACCTGATAAAGAATTACATCTATATGAGTTTGTTTTCCAGATTAGTTTGTATTTTACTAATTCTGTTAACAGATCTCTGAGAAGAGATGCCCTGGATATGATTAAACTTGTGCACATGGTAAGATGGGACTCACCAAATTATATTATTTCATACTAACTGCAATTACTTTGGGGTTTTTTGGAACAGGAAGAATATCTGGCGCATACTGGGAATATCATGGTCTTATAGCAATCAATTTCTGCTTCATGAGTGATAATGAATCATGTTTTGTTTGAACAGTTACTCATTTTCATACATTTAAAATGCCAGATTAGTGTTGCTAATTTGACTCATTAATTTGAAAAAGTAGCAAATTTCAACTGCAAATTTCTACCTGAGCTATTTATGAAGTGAATTTTACAGTGCCCAGAATTCTGTGATCTTTTGCGATGCCTTGCACTGGCTGGCTCTGAAATACTGGATTTCCCCCCTAATGTTCAAATCTTATTGTATTTTGTGTTCCTTTCACAAAAATGTTCGTTCTACAAGTGACTCTTTAAAATCACGGAACTAACTCTTTATAGATATATATTGCACATTAAATATAATATTTAAAGTATGTTATGTATGCTACTGTGATTTTAAAATTTTGTCAGTTCTTTGTCAGTAAACCACTTCAACTGACTGCAAATCCTAGAGCTTGCAACAGGTCTGCCTGTACTGAACATGATTTGAACATCATCATCATCATTAATTGATTACCTGCCCTTCACTCTATGGTCCTAGGGAAGGTTGCAGCATAACAATACAACATTCAAAACTATTTAAAACAACATGAGGCAGTTGGGGACTCCACCAGCAACCATTTCATCAGGTTGAAGCAGAGGGCAGAGCCACTTCACCAGCTCAGCTGAAGGACTCTCTCCTTCTCTCCCTGAACTGTCTCCATCCCAGCTAGACTTTTTCTTTTTTAAAAAAGGTATTTTAGAACTAGTACCCCAAGTGTTGCTTTCCCTCCCTTCCTCTTCCTCTTCCCCAACCGCTTTTCCTTTTATGCTGTACCTTTTAGGCTGCAAGCCTGAGGGCAGGAGTTGTCTTATTACTGATCTTTGCAAACTATCCTGAGGGGTCTTCTTTTGCCTGAAGAGTAAGGTAAAAATGCTTCAAAAAATATATATAAACATAAAACAACAGCCATTCTCGTTCCTGCAAACCAGACAGATGGAAGTAAAAAAAAAAGGGGGGACCAAATAAGATTTCTTTCTCTGAAACTACTTTAATCTTATTTAGGAAAGGATGACAGTTAGCAAAAGTGATGAGCCACAGTGTAAGGTCTAACTTTCTGCAAGGGTTAACAGAAAACCATTGATCTATCCACAAACTTGTGTCTTCATCCAGCAAGGGAGCATATGTGCGCAAAGATAGTATGTGCAGAAGCACCACCTAGAGGTGGGTATAGGGCACACTAGTGTACAAAATACACAGCCCCTGGGGCTTCCATTTTTCTTTTTCTATTTCAAAGTAAGTCTCTAGTCTACTAGAATGAAAGTTATAAAGCAAAATGTTTAGGTGCCCTTCTAAACGATTTCTGTGAAGTGGGCCTGCCTGGTAGTGTTTTTAGCTGATGAGTAAAGTCAAGAGTTGTTACTGATGAGTGAGTTGTTTGGGCACCTAAAGAGCTGCTCTTTAGCTCTCCACTTTCATCCACTTTTCCTGCCCTGGTCTCATTTCTTTCCCCAGTCCTTTGCTCTCTCTCTCTTCTCTGCCCTTCTTTTTTCCTAGAAAAACAGGATGCATCTTTTCTGCAGTGGATTCAGATACAATACACCCTAGAAGATATTTCCTGCAAATACTATTACACACAATGAGTGCAAGTGAAGGTCAAAGAACCGCTCTTCCCTGAAATGGCAAAAGCAAAATGTGAAAACTTTGTCCAGAAAAAGGGCATAGGCTTATCTCCTACTATGCAGGAGCTGAAGTCCAGTCACTCTTAAAAATTCACTATATAGTTAACAAACAATAGAATGGTAAACATGTCTACTCAGCAATAAGTCTCCGTGATCAATGGGACTTACTTTGATGTATGTACAGGGCATGGTTTAGGGTTGGCACTGGGAGAAAGCAGGGTTCTTGTACCTTTAACAGCTGTGTGGCAGGCAGCAATTCAACAGGTTAAGCACTTTCAAGCATGGAAATGCAATTATGGGGAAAGTTCCAAATGCTCACATTTTTGTTGTTTATCATACACTTGTAGTGACTGGTTTATTTTGGGGCCTTCCAGTAGGCACACAAAACAGGGCACAAACTTGTATATGACATGTACCCCGTTTCATGAGCTAGTTGGATGATCCAAACTATCTACAGTGTAGCAGGCACAGAATATCCTGCTGGCAACTCCTGTGAATTTCAGGCTTGATGAAGAACCATGCATGTAAACAGGGGTGGCATCCATGGTTTCTTCTCCCCTATACATTAAGAAATAGAGGCTTCTTCCAGAATCAGAAATCACACTTACCAGCTGTTAAGGGAAAAGGATGAAGTGAAAGATTCAGTCTCCCTGCACCCCTTCCAGATACAAACAACCAATCTCTTCTACAGCATTGTGAAGATGCCTCCATGCAGCCTAGATTACTGAACACACACCTTGTTGGTTCGAAGACCAGGTTTATCCTGAATTATGGGCATTCCATCATAACGTCGACCATCAGTCAAATTCACCCTCTTGGTTCCTACTGAAATAAGTTGCCTGTTCACCAAAGATCTGTTTAGCATCCTGCCATTTAAGCACAGGCCAAAATTTGATAACTTGACAAAATTTGACAATGCAAAACTGGATTTCCTCTCCAAAGGAAAAATGTTCCATCTCCAAAGTATAGAAAGAACATGTTCCCAGGCCTCAACAAGGGAGGGTCTGCTGAAGGTCCCAATGTTTAAGAGGAAAAGATGCATGTAGGAGCTTCTCATACCCACAAGTGTCCCACTTTAAGCAGGACATCCCAGATCACAGAAGTCAATTCTGGCTTCTGTTTGGATCCCGGAATGTCCTCTTTTTTTGGTCCAACACTCTGATGCAAGTACTCACACCAGAGCGCCAAACCTAAAGACACTCTGGCGTCAGTCAGCAGGTTCGTGCCAGAGTGCTGGGCCAGAAGATGCTCTGGCATGATCCTGCTGATGATCCCAGAGCACTGGACCAGAAGGTGTGCCTCTCCTGACTTCCCTATTTTGGGGACAAAAATGTTGGAGTGTATGCCTTCATCTCTCACAATCTCTCTCCTCCTGATGACCAAAATGTAAGCTGGATCCAAACCAGAGCTTTTTGCTTTTCAGGAGGGGTGAAACTATCCTTCTTTGGTCCAAAATGCACCAGTGCTGCTTTTTGTGTGCATGCATTCCTGTGCGCAAATAATAGCCCAGGAAATACTTTCAAAACATGCACCGGTGTCAGGTGGCAACTGAGGCACCACAAGCTGCGGTGAGGCAGTTGCCTCAGGTGGCATGCTGGGGGTCGCTAGGAGGGGCGGCAGATCTGGGCCCTGAGGAGCACACTGCTTGCAGCCTCCTGCACTTGTTATCCTCATCACCACTATCCACCCACCTCCACTGCCTGTTGCTCTCTGGCCTCTTTTCTCCCCCTCCCCCTTCACTGTACAGGGGCTTCCCCCATGCCACCTCCAGGCACTTCATTTTCTGTTTTGCCTAAGGTGGCAAAACATCTGTAGCTGGGCCTGCAAGCGAGGCACTAAGGAAATACCGTATTTTTTGCTCTATAAGACTCACTTTTTCCCTCCTAAAAAGTAAGGGGAAATTTGTGTGCGTCTTATGGAGCGAATGCAGGCTGCGCAGCTATCCCAGAAGCCAGAACAGCAAGAGGGATTGCTGCTTTCACTGCGCAGCGATCCCTCTTGCTGTTCTGGCTTCTGAGATTCAGAATATTTTTTTCTTGTTTTCCTCCTCCAAAAACTAGGTGCGTCTTGTGGTCTGATGCGTCTTATAGAGCGAAAAATACGGTGCATTCTACATCAATTTACTGACTGGGACCTTCTAACCTGTGATTGAAAATGAAGTCTCAGTCCTAATGGTAGCTTCTGTGCCACAATCAGAAGTGCTTTGTGAGAATGATCCCTTCTACCAGGCATGGCCAAACTTGGCCCTCCAGGTGTTTTGGGACTACAACTCCCATCATCCCTAGCTAACAGGACCAGTGGTCAGGGATGATGGGAATTGTAGTCCCAAAACATCTGGAGGGCCAAGTTTGGCCATGCCTGCCTTCTACCAAAATCACCACATCTTTCCTGGAGAGCTGCACCCTAAAGCTGTGACTGATTTGTGCAAGAGTGCATTGACTAAGTTCAGGCCAAAAAACAATAATGCCTCTGTTTCTCAAATGCCTGAACAGTCCATGCATCTGTGTATGGAGCTGCTGATATCCCAGAGTTGTACTGGCTGGCTAGCTCCATACACAATGCTGTGGGAGCCCTCTGAACCCATTCATTCTCCCAGAGCAGCTTTCATCAGCCTGGTGCCCCCACAGTATTTTTGCCACACAGCTCCCTTCAGCCCCAGGCAACACACTAATAGGAGTTGTAGCCCAAAATATCTGGGGGGCACCAGGCTGATCCAGAGATGCATTTACCCATTATTATTGGCTGGACATTGGATATCTCTGTCCATACCAAATTCCTGTGGGATGCACCTCTTGTTTGCTGAAATGGTACCTTGCTTGCAGGGGCAATTCTCACTGCAGGTGTGCCTGAAAGGGGCCATTATTAACTGCAGGGTGTGATTTCCAGAGGCCCTCTTCCTCCAGCGCATACGCAGCAGGGACTTGAACTCCGAGCGGAAGTTCTCATTCAGCCAGCAGTAGATGAAAGGGTTGTAGCAGGTGCTGCTCATGGCGAACCAATGGAAAGCGAAGTAAATGATGTTGTTGCTCTGGATGGCCTTGCTAGACATGAGGACTAAGTAGCAATTTAACGGGAACCAGCAGACAGCGAAGACCAGCACGACCACCATCAGCATCTTCAGAGTCATCTTCTTCTTCCTCTGGTGAGCATAGTACTGCTCCATGGTCACATCACCAATGGCGTTCCGCATCCAGATTTTCTTGGCAACCACTGTGTAAGCGATGGAGATTACCGACAGGGGCAGGAGATACAGGAGAAAGAAGGTGGTCAAATCCAGGTACTTCCAATAAAGATCTTTTGGAGGGGGGAAGCTTGGGAGGCAGACCACACGAATCGTTCTGTTTCTGGAATACAGAAGAAGAACAAATTCCTCCGTGAAGAGTAGACAATACTGATGGGAGTTGTAGCCCAAATCATCAGGAGACCACCAGACTGGTATAGACTAGGCAAGCTAGGCCCATGTTCACACCATCCATTTTAAGTGCTATGATACTACTACAACCATTCATGGCTTCCCCCAGAGAATTCTGGGAGCTGCAGTTTGTTAACAGAGGTATTAAGAGGTTTCAGGCAAAAGGTGAGAAACAGGTTTCCATCTTGCATGGGATAAGTTGGGCTAGACAGGCAGAACAGCCCTCTCATCCCAAACCTGTTGGAGTTGCGGGGGGACGGAGACGGACTGTGTGATAAATCTAGCATCATATAACCACCATGTTTAACCCTAATTAATGCATGAAGGGGTTAAGACCATAAAGTAAGCTGTGCTACCAGGCTTTACTAGGTCACATCTCCTCACCTTGGGAGGAAGGGTTACCAAACTCTCTGTTCTCTTCTCTTCCACTATGAGAACCCTACCAGTAAGGTGGTCTAATTTGGATGTTCCAAGCCTAGATTGCGTTGCTTAAGCAAGCCATTTTTGTGTTTTATACAAATAGTTATTGATAAATATTTGCCAATTTTGAAGTAAATCGTACTGCTGGTCTTTCTTGCTGCTGGTGGAATATGGCATTTTGAAGAGTTTGTAAGGAAGCCATTTTTAACTTACCAAATGTGTGGTCTCTTTCTAAGCTAAGGGGAAGTGGGGAACTTTGGAAGCAACTTAGAAGGGTTTTTTTAAAAGGTTTATCAGCCTTTGTATGGAGGGAGGGAAGCGGTTCTGGGGAACACCAAAGCCACCTTCACAACATAACATTTAAAACAGTCATGGCTTCCCCCGGAGAATCCCGGGAGCTGTAATTTTGTTTTGTTTTGTTTTAGGGCACTGAGTATTGTTAGGAAATCCTCTATTCCCTTCACAGAGCTACAGTACCAGAGTTCCCTGTGAAGAAGGATCAGCTGTTAAACCACTCTGAGAACTGCAATTCTGTGAGGGGAATAGGGGCCTCATCACAATTCTCAGCACCCTTAAACAAACTCCAAGTCCCATAAATCTTTAGGGAAAGCCGTGGCTGTTTAAGTGGTATCACAGTGTTTTAAAGGTATGGTTTGAATGTTTCCCAAGTAGAGCATGGACACCTAAAGAAGCAGCTAAAAGACAGCAGCAGCATTGTCAGAGCTGAACCCTTCAAATAAATTTCCTCTGCAGTACCTTCCCATCTCTCCAGGCATCATTTGTAATATTTGCAGCGACAAATAATGCAGCGGGTGCCCCTTTTAATGATGTGTCTTTTTTATTTCTCTTACCCCATAGAAAGCCACATCAGCTTCTGGTAGATGGCATGGGGCAGGGAGAAACAGCTTGCCATTAACCAGATGACAGCAATGCAGATCCTTCCTTTCACAATGGACATTCGAGGCCTCAGTGGATGCACGATGACCTAAGGAAGTCACAGAATGAATAAGGTTGTAAATCCTCATACAGTGGTACCTCGGGTTACATACGCTTCAGGTTACAGACGCTTCAGGTTACAGACTCTGCTAACCCAGAAATAGCACCTCGGGTTAAGAACTTTGCCCAGCAGCAGTGGGAGGCCCCATTAGCTAAAGTGGTGCTTCAGGTTAAGAACAGTTTCAGGTTAAGAACAGACCTCCGGAACGAATTAAGTACTTAACCCGAGGTACCACTGTACAGGCCTTGACTCACAAACATATTCCTATGTCTTATGGAGATCAATAGGACTCAATCTCATGTAATAAAGTGGGCTGAGTCAAAACAGAGGTGAAAAGAGGCTTTGTTTGTTTTTGCAAAAGGTCTTGCGAGCTGCTGAAAATGGTCTCTGCAACTGAGGTTGGCGGTGGCAGGGTTATTGCAGATATGGGCACAAGTGCTTCTCCCTTTCAGAGTATGGGTGATGTTTACTTGCTCCCACTTTGAATTTGCTTAGTATATTATTTCATGAACATAAGGACAAATGAAGAGCCTGCTAGATCAGGGCCATGGCTCATCTGTTCCAGCATCCGGTTATCTTACTAGCCACCCAGATACCTGTGGGAAACCCACAAGCAGGATTTGAGCACAGGAGCAGCTCTCTGTTCCAACTCTATCAAGTAGCATTCAGAAGCGTTGCTGCCTCTGACGGTGGAGCCAGGGCAGTAGTTATTCCATGAATTTGTCTAATCCTCTTTTTAAGCAATCAAGGCTGGTAGCCATTATTGGTCAAATCTGAGGCCCATTTAAAAAACAACAACATAAGCCCATTCCAGCCAGTGTTATGTTTGAAAGACATTCCGGGAAACACCAGAAAAACTGGCTGTCAGCTGATACGTGAGAATGCCTTTATACACTTGTCTTGGAAGGCCAGCACAGGCTGACATCGACTGTTCCAGTGTCCCACCTACCTGCCCAAGCAACGTTCAGTGTTCCTTCTTACCTGCCATTAGCAGGCCATTCTGTTTCTCCCAGCTTTTAAAGTGCATTATTAATTCTGATTGTGGAATCTGCATTCTCTTGGTGCAGATTTCATATTCTCTTTGTAAAGTATTGGGATTTAAAAAAACGATACTCTACCTGATGGCGGTCCAGAGCAATAGCTGTCAGAGTCAGCACAGACACATGGACAGAGCAATACTGAACGAACCGGCTCACGTGGCACATCTGCTTTCCAAAAACCCAGGTTCTGCTAACAAATCGGACCTAGAAAAGTATAGCAGGCAGTTTGTAAATCATCCCAAATGTGGATTAAAGTGAAGGGGTTTCCCCCCCTCCCCCAAACAGGAGCTTAATATCATAACGGATCATTCAGATATCGTAAATGGGTTGCTGGCAAAATGTTTTTTCACATTATCAGAATCTTACTAGAAAGGGCAAACCTGGATTATTATTATTTTTTTGGAGGGGGGTAATAGACACACCATGTGGGTGTACAAAATATTTGCATATCTGAGGACACATCCCACAGTAGACACCCATGTGGAAGCACTCCTAGTTGGTTGTTTGTTTGTTTGTTTGTTTTATTGCATTTATATCCCACCTTTTCCTCCAGTGAGCTCCAGGGGCTTTCAGAGGCCTCCTCCTCATTTAATCTCCAAAGCAACCCCGTGTGGTAGGTTAGGCTGATAGGCAGTGTGACTAGCCCCCAAGGTTACCCAGTGAAAGCTTCATAGCTGAGTGGAGATTTGAACCCAGGTCTTAGCCTCAAACCCTAGCCACTTCGTCAGACCAAGGAACATAGGATTCATAGTTCCTCTTCAGTGTATCCTTACAAGAGCACTGTATAGTGAGATAGATTGGCAGACAGGTGAACCTGTCATACAACCCCCCATCAATACACACACACCAGATGCAAAATTGAAAACGAGTTACCAAAGCTTCCCTTTTAGGGTACAATTCCCATTGAACTGCATGAATTGTTGTAAACAAGGGCAGAAGACTTTCATCACACCAACCAAGGCCAGCCAAAGACTTCTGGGCACCTCAAACGAAGTACAAAACAGCACCCTGCTTCCAGCCAGGGAAGAAGGGATAAGTGAAGATCTACATCAGGAACAAGAGGGGAATAAAGATCAGCATTGGGATCTGCTGCCCCTGGGGATTCTGCCACCTGAGGCAGTCACCTCACTTTGACTCATGGGTGGACTGGCCCTGAGGCCAATTGTGAAAGTGTCTGTGAGGAAATGGGGCCACAATCCATTTGGGATGGTACAAGAGATTTTCCCAGTGGATTGTACACTGTGTTTTCAAAACATTTCCCAAACTAACATTACTTTGGGGGACGGGGGGACGACTAGTTTCTTCTGTTCGGTCAGGAGCTGTTTCAGGAGCTGTCAGAGAAGAGTCATCTATCTGCACACCTCTCCAAGCCCAGTATCAAGCTAAAGTACTTTAAGTAAGGAGAGTGGGTGGTGGTGAATATGTGATTTAGGGTTAGATTTGCAGTTGATATCAGACACGTGCCTTCACTGTACTCTCTTTGGTGCCTGCTGAAGACATTCTTATTTAGACAAGCCTATCCAGATGATTAGAAAGTTTTAATTTGTTTTAATTTATTCTGTAGTGGTTTAAATTTTTTATATATTTTAAATTATGGATGAAGTCAGACCATTGGTCCATCCTCCTCAGTACTGTATACATAGACCAGCAGTGGCTCTCCAGGTTTCCAGAGATAGTCTCTCCTCCCCTTACCTGGCCATGCTGGGGACGGAACCTGGGAACGTCTGCTTGCAAGGAAGATGCTTTACCTGGAGCAACAGTCCTTCAATCTCTCCCACCTAACCTACCTCACAGGTTTGTTGTGAGGATTATTTTTAAAAAGGAAAGGGGGGGGACTTATGTATGTTACCCTCTGCTCTATGGAGGAAGTGTGGGATAACTACATCATTACTGAAAACTGATTGAAAGAACTGAGCACCATTTTTGTTGCACTGAGAAGGGACAGGAAGTTCCTTCATTTTCTAGAGACGTGAATGGTATACATTCTCCTTTGCCCCAATACTGGGGGGGAGTTTTAACTTTGTGCACAAATAGTGGTGGTCCAGTAGAGAACAGAGCAAGTCCCTGCTGGATCAGGAACAAAAACTCCAAATGCTTATTACCAGAAGAGAAATAAGGCCAGCCAGTGCTGGTGCAGCGGTTTGAGTGCTGCACTAAGACCTGGGAGACCAGGGTTCGAATCCCCACTCTGCCACGAAGCTCACTAGATGTGACCTTGAGCCAGTCACTTTCTTTTGGCTTAACCTACCTCACAGGGTCGTTCCAAGGATAGCATGGAAAGGAATGACGGCATTTATGCTACCTTGAGCTCCTTGGGAGGAAAGTTGGGAGGAAAATGTAAATAAATAAATAATAAATGTACACCTTCCCTCTTATTCCCCTGTGAAATCATACTCTCGCACAGTTGGAGGCTGTACATGACTATACACGGCATTCCAAAATAATAGCATTTGCAGAAGTTTAAAAGGTTTAAAATATACAGAAGCTTAAGCACACCCTAGAAATGCACTTTGGTAATTTTAGACTCAGGACTTAATGGTCATATGATGGGTGGGTGGCTTTTTAAATGTGTGTAACTTCACTCACACCAAACATGTGGCAAGGCAGTCCAACTGCATCTGCTCTCCTCCCCCCCCCCCCCAATTCTGCTGAGCAGGACCCAGTGCTTCTGCCCCAAAGTCCTGCCCTGATGGCGCTATAAACCAAGACATTCTGACACACTGTGCTAGTGTGGAGAGGTCCTTTTGTGGGTCAGGAATTGGTTAAGTCACAGGAAGCAAAGAGCAGGAATAGATAACAGTTCTCTGAATGAAGAGAAGGAGAAAGCAGAGTCCCCAATGATCCCCACAAAGTACCGTGTTCAGTTCTGGTTGCCTCAACTAAAAAAGGATATTGTAGAGTTGGAAAAGGGTTCAGAAAAAGAGCAACTAGAATGATCAAGCAGATGGAGAGTTAGGGACTTTTTCATTTAGAGAAAAGGTGAGGAAGAGGCGACATGATAGAAGTTTATAAAACTACACATGGCATGGAGAAAGTAACGATTTTCTCCCTCTCTCATCATAATGCTAAAACTCGTGGACACCCAACAAAGCTGAACATTGGCAGATTCAGGGCAGATAATTCACTCAGCACATAGTGAAACTGTGGAACTCTCTCCCACAGGAGGCAGTGATGGCCCCCAACATGGATATCTTTAGAAAAGGATTAGACGAATTCATGGAGGACTACCAATGGCTACTACGGTAACTATCAGTGGCCATGCTCTGCCACCGCAGTCAGAGGCAGCAATGCTTCTGAATACCAGTTGCTGGAAACCACAAGAGGGAAGAGTTTGCTCTTGTGCTCAACTCCTGCTTGCATGTTTCCCAAGGAGGAAACTGATTGGTCACTGTGAGAACAGGATGTTGGACTAGATAGGCAAGCTGTTCTTACGTTCTTATAGACAGACACACTGTGCCCAGCCAGCAGATAAAACTACAGCAGGAAGTTGAAATCCAGTACACACATACCAACAACCTGCACACATTGTAAGAAATTGAGAACCATAGCCAGAACTAGACAGCCAGTGTTGGTAAGGTTGTTAGCGTCCTGGGCTAGGACTTTGGGGGCCAGTCACTGTCTCTCAGCCTAACCTACCTCACAGGGTTGCTATGAGGATAAAATGGGAATACGTCCGTCCACACATTGGGCTACTTGGAGGAAAGGTAGGATATAAATATAGTAAGTAAATAAACTTAATAGAAGCCTGCTGGAGCTTAGTTCTCAAAAAGTGGCATAGTTGTGAAGGATGGGAGGTGCGAGGGTCCTGAGGGGGGTTGTCATTTTATTTTATTTTCAAAATGAAGTTTGCTGTTCACTCCTTGTTGAATAACCCTAGAGCCAGTATTTCCCAAACTTGGGTCTTCAGCTGTTTCTGGACTACAATTTCCATAGTCCCTGCAAGCTAGGGATGATGGGAGTTGTAGTCCAAAAACAGCTGGAGATCCAAGTTTGAGAAACACTGGACTAGACTGTTCTCCTTTGGCTTCTGGGATTGGGGTAGGGCTTCTTAAAGAGGGGTACGAGCGAGCCCCCAAAGGCTTTCAAAGAAGGAAACTGACTCCTGGTTAGGATAGAGGTATGCCCCCCCCCATCAGTCTATTCCTGCAAAAACAGCAAAGACAAGCAAAAGTTTATGCCTGTTCAGTACATTCATCAGCTTTAAGGTGCTGCAATACTTTCTGATAAACTTGCTTAACCTTGAGACTTAAATTGGAGCAATTGCACAGACAGATAAAAATTATTGATTAACTCTTATATGCTTTACATGGTGTGCAGAGCTTTTTGCTGGAGGCTGGCACCAGCACAGAGATTCGGTGTGCAGTTTGGAGCAGCCATTTGGAAAGAGGAGGGAAGGCACTCTGCATACCATCAGAGGAACTCTTGCCCCTGTTATTTTGTCTCCTGTCTTGGGACTGAGCCCTGTTTGGGAGCCAACACAATGTTAAATGCTGTGGGCTAACAATTCTAAGACCTGATAACCCAGCTGCTGCTAGCTTGTTCAGATTTAGATCTACAAAAGGAATTACTCTTCCCAAGGAGCAACATCATGGTGAGGGCGAAACCAGCTTGGTCTCATCCATCCACTGGAGAAGATGCAGCTGGTGTTGCCCTTCCCTGCCAGACTGAATACTTATAAGAACTTTGCAACTCAGAGCTAGCCTCTGGGTTGGAGTTTTTTCCCCCTCTTCCCTCCCAATCCCCTTTCCTTTTGTGCTATGCCCTTTATGATTCTAAGCCTGCAGCCAGGAGCTACATAACTTATTCTTGCTCACTGCAACTTGCTGGCTGGGTGAGTAGGGGAGCGTTCCCTTCCAGTGACCATTTCTTACCAAAGTGAAGGGCGTGTTCAGGGTGGTGATCATGATGTCCGCCACGGCCAGGTTGGCGATGAAGAGGCTGGTGGCCGTGTGCATCTTCTTGTTCTTCACCACCACGTGGCAGACCAGCAGATTCCCGAAGAGCGAGATGCAGATGATGACCGAGTAGGCCATGATGAGCAGCGCTCTCACCCTGCTGCTCTGGGACGCCCCTTCGTAGCGCGCGCCGCTGTCGAAACCGTCTAGGTCGTCCACGTCCCAGTCGTCTAGGGAGAAGGAGCTCTCGTTGTCGAAGCCCTCGAAGTCTGAAAACAAGTCTTCGCTGCTGTTCTCGCTCTCGGCATCTTGGCTGCGGAAAAAGGGATTTGAGAGGAAGAGAGGCGGAGGCAGCCAGAAGGGCCGCTGCCGGCTCATAGTTGGTCAGAAGCCAAGGGTCTTGCAGCGCCCATTGGATTCGGATCTAAGCTTTCTTGCGAGGGGTCCGGAAAGTTGCGAGCCAGCTGTTGCCAGCTGCGTCCCGGCTGCGGCTACGGAGGCAGAGGGAGCCGCCGGGACGTTGGACAGCCTCTGCCTGCCTGCCTTATATCTGCTTTCTCTCTCCCCCCACCCGGTCGGAGATGGGCTGTTACCCCTGCTTAAAAGTACCCCCACCACGCTCTGCTCCTCCCTCTGTCCGCCACGCGCGCCCAGAGTCTTGCTGTACCTGGCCGCGCAACGAAGCCGTCAACAGTCAAGGAATGGGGACTAGGAGTGGGGGGGGGGCTGACTGTCCCCTCCCTCCCTCCCATTTCCCTTCTGGAGGCGAGGCGGCGACGATTGCATTGAAAGAGGAGGAGGAGGAGGAGGAGGAGGAGTCCTCGCTCGGCCAGAGAGAGAGAGACAGAGACTCATCCAGCTGAATGCTCCGCGCGAGGAGCGAAGAAGAAAGTGGAATAAAGACCTGTTGAGTTGGAAGGATCGTCTGGCCCCAACCCCCTGCAATGCAGCTGTCCCATACGGGGGTCAAAACTGCAACGTCTTTGTTTTATTTCATTCTTACGTTCGCATAGCCGCCTTTTCTTCCGAGGAGCTCAAAGTGGCGGCGCCGTTCTCTTCCCATTTTATCCTCACGAGAGACCCAGTCCAAATGGATAGTCCCTCTAGCCCAGCATCCTGTTCTCACAGGAGCAAACCAGGGAAACCTGGGCACCCCAGCAGCCCTCTCCCCTCCTGTGGTTTCCAGCAACTGGCATTCAGGAACATTGCTGTCTGCCACTATCAACACAACAACCCTCTGGTCTATGTCAGACTGAGAGTCGGTGACTGGCCCAAGATGAGGTTCATGGCCAGGCAGGGATTCGAACCATGGCCTCCCTGGCCCTAGTCTGACACCCTAAACACTATACCACACTGCCTTAATTGCCATATCCCCTGACTCTCGCCACTGATGAGACAGTGAATGCCATTCATATAGAAGGCAGGAAGTGGCTGCCACCCAGACATATTTTATATACCAGAGGAGGAATGACCTCTGGGAGGAGTGCAGAAAGAAGAAACTCTGTGGTGTACCTGCATCAGCACAACCTGACGCCTTCATCTGCCCCAGCTGCAACAAAACATGTCTCTCCAGCCAGAGCAGGAGCTTAAACCTTCCAACAGATTGACTTCATCTCCAAAGGTGCAGTCTTCCACTGTCTCCAGAGACAGACAGTCTACACCTCCTTTCCCTCCTAAGATCTCAAGGTTGGGTACATGGTTCTCCCCTTCCTCATTTAATCACCACAACAAACCCTCTAAAGTTGGGGAAAATTGACTGCTCCAAGGTCACCCAGCAAACTTCATGGTCAAGTGGGAATTCAAACCCTGATGCTCTACCTGCTGTAACCTTATTCTGCACTGGTTCTCTCTCTCCTTCTTTCCAAAGTCACTGAGAGTTCTGGAGGGCAAAGGCTGCAACCTCTTTTGCTCCTCTGTTAGGTGTCCCCTTCCTGGAGCCTCCATCCTTTCTTCTCTGTCTCCAAATAGACCTTTTGCCCCTGATAATTCAGGGGGCAAACTGAGTAAGTGGGGAGAGAGCACCCTTAGCTGGGAAGGTTGGCAGACAGCTTAAGCTGTGGGCGGGGAGGAACACAGATGACTGAAAGAGGTACCTACAGGACAGCTATTTGACAATCCAAATAATCAAAGGGATGGAGCAATTCCCCAAGAGGAAAGGTTGCAGTGTTTGAGACTTTGCAGTTTAGAGAAAGGGTACGTAAGAAGCGACAGGATAGACGTTTATAAATTTATGCATGTCCTGGAGAAAGTGGATAGAGAAAAGCAATGAAGGGTACAGGTAAGTAAAATAAAATAAAAAGAAAAGATTGTTCAGGTGGGAAACATACAATATTGATGTAACAGGAAGCAGAAAACCATTTACTTACTTATTTACTTACTAAATTTATATTCTGCCTTTCATCCAAGGATCACAGGGCAGTTTACAGAATGAAAACACAAAAATGTGAAATAGTACAAACAAAACAATAACTACCCCCTGTTTAAGGAGCCAAAGACCTGGGAGAAGAGGAACGTTTTCACCTGGCACCTAAATATATGTAATGGGGAAAAGCATTCCATATAGTATGAACAGCCTTATTTGTTATTTCTAGCTCTTCACAGGGCATTTCTGGTGAGTGAAGAATATCTGATGGGGAGGGGGGAATCTATATGAGATCCAAAAGCTTTTAAATGCCACAGGTACTCATTTCTTGTTTGTGTAATAATGAATAAAGCTGTACTGCTCTTATGAAACTAAGCATGCCAAATTATTGTATAATGCAACAGGGGGATGTTGACTGTTATTTTAATTATTGAGATAATTAATACAAGAATGCCATGATGAAATAAATTTGTCAGACTCAGAGACTCTACTCTCAGCTTCTTTTTCAGTTTTTCCATAAAGGCAATGTACTATACCTTGTAATACAAATATTACACATAGCACGTAGTTCAACTATGGAACTCACTCCCAACAGAGGGAGTGATGGGTGGCTTTAAAAGAGGATTGGCCAAATTCATGGAGGACAATGGCTGCTAGCCACGATGGCTGTGCTCTATCTTCACTGTCAATGCCTCACAACTCTCTACCAGTTGCTGGGAATCACAAGTGGGGAACAGCTGCTAAAACACTCAAAAGCCCACTTGCCCATGAAGCTCACTGGGTGATCTTTGGCCAGCCACTGCCCCTTTCAGCCTAGCCTACCTCACAGCGTTGCTGTGAGGATGAAATGGGAAAGAGCAGCATCATGTATGCCACCTTAAACCCCTTGGGAGAAAGTTGGGATATAAATGTAAATACATTGCATTTTTAGTCTTGTATTTTATGCTTTGTTGTACACACTCTTGAGATGCCTACATAACTGGTGCTATATAAGTACCGTATATGTATTTAAATAAATATATATCTTCATATCAAAAAGAAAACCATTCCCCAAGAACATTCTGACCCTATCCCATATTTATTTTATTTTATTTATTGCATTTCTTTCCCATCTTTTCCTCCAAGAAACTCAAAGTGGCAAATGATGTTCTCCCTCATCCTTGTTTAATCTCTACAACAACTCTGTGAAGTAGGTTAGGCTGAGAGACAGTGACTGGCCCAAGGTTACGCCCACTGAGCTTCATTTCTACTTGGGGGGATTTGAACCCATCTCTCCCAGGCTCTGGTTCTACATTCTAACCACTGCACCACACTGGCAGTCCAACCTCCAACATTTCTCTGATAAAAATTGGGACATCCCATTCCATAATGATAATACTACTATTTTTACCCCACCTATCTTACTAGATTGCCCTGGCCACTCTGGGCAGGTTCCAACATATATAAAAACATAATAAAACCTTTCCTATATAGGATTGCTTTCAGATGGCTCGGGGGTCAGATAACTCCATACCCTCCAACATTTCTCCAGTGAAAATAGGGACGTCCTAAGGAAAAGCGGAACATTCCAGGATCAAATCAGAAACTGGGATGCCTTCTCTAAATCAGGGATGTCCCTGGAAAACAGGGACACTTGGAGGGTAAGCACTGGCTCTCAAAAAAGTCATTCATTTGTAACTTGGTAAGCATGTTGGTTTTCTGAAATTGCCGTAGTGTTAACAGATGTGATGAGATGCCTTGCATCACACAGCAGTAATGAGTTGTTGTTGTATTTAAAAGCTCCAAAACAAAATATTATTTTGAACCCATCTATTTAGTACATGTGACGCACCAGCTGACAAATTCCCCAACTCTTGGGTTGCAAAGGCCCTGGAATGTCAGCTGAGTGACTGGGAGCCTTCAAATACCACACTTCATCTCTCAGGGGAATTAACACTCATTTCTGGATGAGATGGATCACCATTTGCCTTGGAGGCTGCTGCCTCAAACTTGTAAGTACAGTAGCAGGGCCCTGCTGGCTTGAGCCAAGACCTCATCTAGCTCTGCTTGCCTGGAACATTCATCACCTGGATACTATCCACTGAGAAGCCCAGAAAGAGGGCATGAAGTCCAAAGCCCTGGCTGTTCCTTTTTGCTGTCTTCAGCACCTGTTGCTCAGAGTCAGGCTGCCTTTCAACATGGAGGGTCATTCATTGGGAAGGGGATGTAGCTCAGTGGTAGAGCACCTGCTTTGCATGCAGAAGGTCCTAGCTTCAATCCCCAGTGGCATCTCCAGGTAGGTCTGGGAATGTTCCCTGCCTGAAACTCCTGAGAGCTGCCAGAGACTCAGTACTGATATCAGATTAAATGGACCAGTAGGTTAATTTAGTATGAGACACGCTCCTAGGTCCTATCTGAGTTATCCAATCTCTGCCCATAAATCTCTGTCCAGTCCTTCTGAGCCAACTAAGCTCCATTAACTGGTAAATAACCATAGGAATCCATACACAATGTCCATGTGAGACTCAGAAGCCCGGGGTTTTGTAAATTTCACAAATGTATGTGCCGTAACTTGGGGGTGTGCCCATCTTCCAAGCCTTGGGTTTGCTTCCACAGCTACTGTTATCTTCCAGGACACTATAAAGCAGGGGTGGCCGAACTTTTGGAGGTCAAAGGGCCTCATTGCAAATTCTCTGGGGGGTGTGTGTGTGTGTGTGTTTTCATGTCACAGAGGGAGGGAGTGAAGTGCCACAGAGGGGTCAAAGTCAAGTGATGTTATCATTACTCAGCGGTCGCCTACGCTTGCTTTGCAAATTAGTTTTCTAATATTCCCAAATAATTGTGACACTATTTGTAAGAGCCTGAATTAATTGACATGAAATAATTAGGCTAGCTTGACCAATACTTTCAAAAGTACCTATAATTATTTGAAAGCTTCCTCTGCTCTTCCATCTTTTGCATTCATTTGAGATAAAAACATTCCCTCCAACCTTCTTTTCCGCATTCCGCCCCCAAACACCTGAGAATGGTCACTCTCTCTCTCTATATATATTAGGTATATATCGGCGGCGGGGGGGGGGGATAATTGGTGTGCACTCAGATTCCAGAATAATTAATTTATTGACCAATGCCTTTCTTAAATAAGTACTTGGCATGTACATGGGATCTTAGCCCTGTCCAGAAGTACAGCTCCTTGCAATGAAGAGTGTTTTTGGAAATCGTTGAGTGCACCAGGTGCAACTCTAGTCTGCTCTGATTTTATGAAGCACTCTCCTACCTGCTGACAGGAGAAATTGCCAATGCTCAAGAATGCAGAAGTAACAGTGGTGATGCTGCTTGCCATCAATGTCTCCTAACAAACCACTGCTGATCCTTGCATTCCCAAACCACATGGCCAATGGTGGTTAGAGAGTATTGGGATAGGACCTGGGAGAGGTTTCAAATCCCCACTCAGCCATGAACCTCATGGGGCTTGTCCTTGGGAGCCAAGTCACTGCTCTCAACCTTACCTACCGCAGAGGTTGTTGCAAGGATTAAATGAGGATGGGGACAGAACCATGCACACTGCCTTAAGCTCCTTGGAGAAAAAGGTGGGATATATATTGAATAAATAAATAAATATATTTGCACACACACACCCTAAAACTGCAGAGTGGTTCATGACTTTCTGAGGGTGGGTGGGTGGTGGGTGGTGCCACCAAATTATTGGCAATTCTGGGGTCCTTGGAAATAGTTTGGGGATCCAGATCAGGCTCAAAGCCCACTGGTTAGCCACCCCTCCATTAAAGGTTATCAGTGTAATAACAACTCCCTGTGGAGAGAGACTGCAGCATTTGGGGCATTTTAGTTTAGAGAAGAGGAAAGTAAGGGATGACATGATAGAAGTTTATAAAAAAATGCATGGCATGGGGAAAGTGAATAGAGTTTTTATTCCCCTCTCAAAACACTAGAACTTGTGGACATCCCTTGAAGCCGAATGTTGGGAGATGTAGGACAGATTAAAAAGGGGGGCTTCTTCGCATTGCGCATGAACTATGGAACTCTCTCCCACAGGAGGCAGTGATGACCACTAATTTGGATGGCTTTAAAAGAGGATTGGACAAATTCTTTGAGGGACAGAGGGGAGAGGCTATCGGTGGCTATTAGATTAAAAAGGTAAAGGTAAAGGACCCCTGACAGTTAAGTCCAGTCATGAATGACTATGGGGTTGTGGCGCTCATCTCGCTTTACTGGCCAAGGGAGCAGATGTTTGTCCACAGACAGTTTTTCTGGGTCATGTGGCCAGCATGACTAAGCTGCTTCTGGCAAAACCAGAGCAGCACACGGAAATGCCATTTACCTTCCCGCCAGAGCAGTACCTATTTATCTACTTGCACTTTGACATGCTTTCAAACTGCTAGGTTGGCAGGAGCAGGGACCGAGCAATGGGAGCTCACCCTGTCACGGGGATTTGAACCGCCGACCTTCTGATCAGCAAGCCCTAGGCTCAGTGGTTTTATTTCAATTATTTCATCTCTGAGCCAAAAAAAGGAAAGAATTGTAGTGCAATCTGACTACCCTATTCAGTGAAAGATTCTCTGTTACCAATAATGCTAGAATTGGCACAAATAAGAAAACATATGGAAATTCAGCTGAGCCCTGACTTAAATCTGCCTCCATTAAACTAAAATAGGCAAGTTATTGTGGGTTCTGCAACCAGGAGGTCTGAAAACATGAGTCTTGTTTTAGGGCTGCATTCTGTTTTGTTTTACTCTCCCTAGCCATAGGTACATATTGGAAGAGATTGCTTGTATAACCACCAGATCTGTATTAAAAGGTTGCCTAAACAACCACCAGATATAAATAGATACATCATATACAGTCATAACTTTGCTATGGGCCAAACCAGATGAGATGTAGCATAGAATTCATTGCATCTTTTCCGGACTTTATTTTCCTTTGTGTGGTTTTTATTCTTCTGCTGCTTCTGTTTTAGAACAGCCTTGGAGGCTACCAATGAGATCAGAAGACTACTAAGAATACTCTCTGATTGCTTTCTTAATTCTTTTTCTTCCTATTCATTGTTGATTTGAAAATGAGGTCCCTCTGACATGTTTTTCCACCATTAAGAAAAATGGTGATACGGACTTTCTGTATTTTTCACTGTGAAAGGAAAGTGGTTTGTGGGAGGGTGATTTTGAACTGAAAAGTTAGAGGGGAAAAGGCTTAAGAACCTTGCCTTTTCAAATTAAAACATGCACACAAACACAGTCTTCAAAACAGCACAGAGGAAAAAAGACATAGAAGTTGGAAAGGTCTAGTTTTGCCCTAAACAGTAAATGTAGGATCCTTTGTAGGATTTGCAGAAGCAGAAATATGGGCAGCATAAGGGACAGGGTGTGGTTCAGTTGTCACCAGCTCTACAGCAGCCTTCTGCAACCAGGTGCCCTTCAGATGGAGACATCTGGAGACTAGGTCAGGAGGTTGTTCCATAGACTCATAAGAATATAAGAAGAGCCTGTTGGATCTGGTCAGTGACCCATGTAGTCCAGCATCCTGTTCTCACGTGACCAACCAGATGCCCATTATGGGAAACCAGCAAGCAAGATTTGAACACAAGATCACTCTTACCTCCTTTGGTTTCCAGCAACTGATATTCAGAAGCATAGCTGCTTCCAACTGTGGAGACAGATCATAGCCATCATGGCTAGTTGCCTTTGATGGCCCTCTGCTCAATGAATGCATCTGATCCAATTTTAAAGCCATCTAGGCTGGTGGTTGTTTCTGCCTCCTGTGGGAGCAAGTAAGTTAAGGGAAGAAGTTATCAATCCGGAATCTTCCAGCCTCATTCTACTCTTGCCATGTGCTCTCTTCCTGGACAGGTTTGTGGATTGGACCCAGAACTACTAGAACTCAGTGGGGTTGGCCACAACAAAGCTTGTTTGTTTATTCCTTTCAGAAGCATTCCTTTCAGGCTGGAGGATGGAAGTACTGCAAGAAGTGGTTCAGAAGTGTGTGTGTAAAGGGAGGAAAACTTTTACGGAGAAAGGTAAGGGGCAGTGGCCCATGTGCTGGGATTAGTTGTGGGAATTCCCTCTCTACTTCCAGGCTGAGTTGTGAAGCTTTCTCTGCAGATAAAAGAAATTACTTCTTAGAATAATAGAATTGTAGCATTGGAAGGGATCCCAAGGGCCATCTAGTCCAACCCCCTGCAATACAGGAATCTCAACTAAAACATACATGGCATGTGGACATCCAACCACAGTACTCCAGGTGTGGTCTGAACAAGGCAAAATGGGTGCTCCTATTACCACACTATTCATTCAGCACATAGTTAAAACCATGGAACTCGCTTCCACAGGAGGAAGGGGTGGCCACCAACTTTAAAATATTATTGGACAAATTCATGGAGGGGAGGGCTATTGATGGCTACTAGTCACAGCTGGAGACAGCAATGCTTCTGAATACCAGTTACTAGAAACCACAGGAGTTTGGAGTGCTCTTGAGCTCAAATCCTACTTGTTGGTTTCCTGAATAGGTAACTGGTTGGCCAGGGAGCGAAGAGGATGCTGGATTAGATGGGCCAATGGCCACATCCGGCAGCCTCTTCTTATATCCTTTGGATGAACTTGGTCAGTTCCCCTTCACTCAGTAATCTTTCACTCTGTTGTGGTAAACAAGGCTATAGACATGAAAGGTCAGGCTGACCTCCTGAGTTCTGCTTTTTAAATTATCCACAGCCTTGGCTTGAAGGCAGCTTAAGTCTTACATGTATTTCTTATATGTCAAAATGACAGCGAGATTGTCACTTCTCAGAAACAGCACCCACTTTCTTTCTCTTTTTCTCATTCTTTAAATGTCACCAGAGACCCCCCAAATATCTTATGAAACCTTGTATTCCCAAACATGCACTGCAGTTAATAACAGCATATATCTGTTAAAAAAAATGTTCTTCTAAAGTTGTCCACAAGTTAGCACAGTGGTACCTGAGGTTAAGAACCTTCGTTCCGGAGGTCCGTTCTTAACCTGAAACTGTTCTTAACCTGAGGTACCACTTAAGCTAATGGGGCCTCCCGCTGCCACCATGCTGCTGGTGCACGATTTCTGTTCTCATCCTGAGGTAAAGTTCTTAACCCGAGGTACTATTTCTGGGTTAGTGGAGTCTGTAACCTGAAGCGTCTGTAACCTGAGGTACCACTATATAAACCTTTGGGACTGGATATGGGATTGGTTTTCTGAAGCATTTGTGAATATAATGAAACGCTATCGCCAGGAGCAACATGCCCCCTTTTGCTGTTTGAGGTAGAACAGGAAGT